CACTGCGGGGTCTGATTGCAGCCAGCATGGCAATCCTCCCTTTGCTGTGCCGGTGCCACAGCATGAGGCAGGAGATGAGGATCTGACTCCGTGTTTCTGAAGGCTGATTGATTATTTAATGATATATATTATAGCAAAATGATATATTAAAACTGTACTAAAAGAATAGAAGAAAGGATTTCATCAGAAGCTCATGACTCTGAGTGTCTGAGCCAGCTGGCTGTGATTGGCCATTAATTAGAAACAACCAACATGGGCCAATCCCAGATGCACCTGTTGCATTCCACAGCAGCAGATAATTATTGTTTTTCTTTTCCTCTGAGGCCTCTCAGCTTCTCAGGAGAAAAATCGTGGCAAAGGGATTTTTCAGAAAATGTCATGGCTGCACTTTCCCTTTTCCCTTTCCCTTTCCCTGGCGTTTCCCCTGCAGGCCCCGTGGATGAGTACATGCTGCCTTTCGAGGAGGAGATTGGCCAGCACCCCTCCCTGGAGGACATGCAGGAGGTTGTGGTGCACAAAAAGAAGAGGCCTGTCCTGAGGGAGTGTTGGCAGAAACATTCTGTAAGTGTCACCCAACCCCCTGAGTGCCACGTTTTGTCCGTGCTGTGTTGAGTACATTGCACTGGGCTTTGGGAGGGGTTTCATAATTCCAGTAGGAGCTAAATGGGCTGTAAATGTTCCTCATCTTAGACTGCTCTTTCTGCAGTATTAGAAAGTGAGGGATTTTGTGGTTTTTGATGGAAGAAGAGATCCTGGAGTTCCTTTGCAGTGAAATCCCAATTGGTGTGTGAGGGATTCACCTTTATAAAACACTGGGGGGCTCCAGAAGTGCAGGGCAGGATTTTCCCCTTGCTGCCGTTGAACAGTTTTTGTTCAGTAGTGCAGAGCAAAGCAGAGCTGAGGCCCCACGGGACACTCCAGGCTCACACCAAATGTTCTGTGGGACACAAAGGCTCCCATTGGAGGTGTCCCTGCAGGGCCCTTTTTGAGGTGAGCTGTTTCCCCAGGGAATGGCGATGCTGTGCGAGACCATCGAGGAGTGCTGGGATCACGACGCCGAGGCGCGGCTGTCGGCGGGCTGCGTGGAGGAGAGGATCATCCAGATGCAAAAACTCACTAACATTATAACAACAGAGGACATCGTGACTGTGGTCACAATGGTGACAAACGTTGACTTTCCTCCCAAAGAATCCAGTCTATGATAGTTGCACTGGTCATGGAAGTGACCACAGGACTCTTCACTGGAGCTGCTACAGCGCACGGACTGCTGGCGTCACTGCTGTTCCGGGTGGCAGGAACGGATGGTAAGTCTCTCTGGAGCGTCACCAAGAGGTGTTTATCCTTTGTTTTCCCTCTCCTCCTCCTCCTCCCCACCGTGGATCCATGAGACTTTCTGCATTCCCTGCTTACACCTGAAGGACGTGACCGAGAACCCCTCACGTGCAGAATAGGAACTTGCGATGAAGAATCCGGACCTGAACGGGCTAATGAGCATTTTAAACACTGACATCCGATTTCTTAATCCCTGTCAGAAGAGACTAATTCCTTTAAATGAACTACTGTTATTTTTTTTAAATCAAAAACATTTCATTTCAGATTTAAAAACAACAAAAAAAAAAAGGGTAACTTGTTTTTATTGCATTCGTTGTTGTTTATAAAATGACTATTGTAATGCGACTACGACACAGCTTGTGAATGTTCCGTGTGCTGCTGTTCCGTGTACAGAAACAAGAGTAATCAATGGGATAGAGCAAAGAGGCTTCCAAGTATTACTTAACCTCCCTCAACCAGGTATACCTCAGTTCCACCTCGCTAAATTATGATTGACAACACTAATTGGAATAATAAACCGCTCCGTGTTTTGTAAATGATGTATTCCCAATTCCCTGTGTTATTTAAGAAGGGGAAAGCTTCATGCCCCCAGGAAGTGGCCATTCCTAGAGCCGTGTTTTTAGCCTTTTCTTGTACTCGCTTGTTGTGTATAAAAAAGAAAAAGTGCTGTTTATTGAAAGAAAATTTTCCCTCCTCTTTTAGTTGAAAGCTTTTCCCTCCATTGCCCAGAGTATCTCATCCATTTATTTAACTGAATACTATTTAGGTTTGCTGTGTCTGAGGAATATTTGAAACCTTAAGCATGACTTTCTTTTTTTTTTTTTTAATTTTCTCTGAGCTGTGACACTGGAAAGCTCTGAATTCTTGTTTTTTTTTTTGAAAAAGAGTCTTTTTCCTATTTATGTTTGTGCCGAGGTCGCGGCGCGTGCCTGGCCCGCAGGCAGCGGGGGCTGTGCCGCTGTTTCAGGATCACCTCAGGAAGCTCCGTTCCCCCTTCCCCTCCCTCTGCCTGGAGCTTTGCAGCTTCCCTGCACTCAGAGCTCCACGGGAGGGGAGTGCAGCTCCCACAGCTTGAGCCTGGAGTCACTCACAAAGTTCCAGCCACAGATTGCAGATCCTAAACATTGCAAATTTCAGGGATAACCTAGTTCTGCTCACAATATGCAATGACCATTCCGAGGTAACGAAAGGAATTTCGATGGCCAGAGCGCAGACTCACAGAAAATGAGGAAAACCGAGGAAATTCACAGCTCCAGCACTGCAGTTCAGGATGTCAGCCTTGTGCTGGGATTACAGTGACTGGTGGCTGGGTGCCAAAGTGCTTCTCCCAAATGCTGTCCCACTGCATTGATTGGATCCTTCCCACCAGATTCCGAGGCCAAGGGAGCAGAGGTGGCAGCGGCCGGCGTGTGCTGTGTGTCCTTGTGTCCGTGTGTCCCCCAGCGTCTCTGGAAAGCAGAGGTGGCAGCTCCTGGAGCTGGGACCTGCAGCCCTGGGAGCAGTGGGGGTGATGGTGAAGCAGAGGCAGCTCTGGGCAGGCAGGGAGAAGGAAGGGCTGATGTTGCAGCTGTGGCACTGCTGCTCACCGCTGTGCCCGAGGATCCTGCTCCAAGGGCCCGTGGGAAAGGGAAGGAAATCCAGTTTGTGGGCTCCTCTGGGCTGGACACTTCCCTTTGGCTTCCATTTCTGCTCCACTTTTAGTTAAACTTCACACAGGACTGGAGTTCTGAACAAATCCCAACCATGGACTCTTTGGGGCTTTTGCCACGGGCTGGTTTCATTCTGGTCTCCTGGAGGAACTGAAGCTGAGTCCAGGTCCCTCCCTGTGTGTGACGCTCCCAGGGAGCTGCTGGCTCTGGGAGATCCCTGCTCTGTTCCAGTCCCAGCCTCCTGGCATTGCCAGCACCCTGTGGCTCCCTGAGGAAAGGCTGCTCCTCCCCACAGCTTCCATGGCTCTCAGTGACCTCCCCGAGCTGCCCAGGGCTGGGCAATGAATTCCTGTTTGAGGGCATTCAGTGAGAGCTGGGAGCAGCAGGGCAGGGCTCTGGCATTGTCTGGGCAGTGCCCTTGGGCCCTTCCTGCCTGGCCTGCCCAGCTGGGACTGCTGAGGGTGACACCTTCCTGTCCCCTGTCCCAGAGCTGCCCGTCCTGGGGCATTCCCAAACTCCTCCATGGGCATGGAATGACCCAGGAGCTGCAGCAGTGCAGCTCTCAAACCTCACCGGTACCCAGTGCTGAGACTTGTCCTGCTCCATCAGCATCCACAATCATCACCCCTCTCCTCTTTTCCAGCTTTTGTAACCTTTTAAAGACATTTCTGTTGATCAGGAACACTCGGTACAAAACACAGGAAGCTGCAATACACATCCCTGGGCAAAAGGACTCCAGTAGCATCCTTGATGGAACATCTGTTACCTCAGATACTCAACCAGCAGGACTGCTTTGCTTTCTCCCTCCAGTTTGTTTTTTTCAGTCCATCTCCTCTTCGTTACCTCTCGAGTTTGGTGAGCGATTACTTTAACTTTCCTCTTTGTATTTGTCAGTGTTTTGGGCACAGGTTGTTGTACTACTGTTAAAAGGCACTTGCTGCTTTTCTGCGAGTGCCACAAAACCAACCAACCCCCCCTCGCCCTCAATAAAGTGATTGTTAAATATTGTACAAATACAAATGTATACTCTGCCCTCTTCCCCAGTGGGAAAATAAAAAATGTGACTACTCTGACTTGCAAATGCTTCTTCAAAAACTTTATTTTAAAATAAACACATGGGGCTGGTCCTACAGCAGCTCTTGAGCCAAACTTTTTGAGTTTTGCTCCAAAAAATTTGGTATGGAAAGATGTTACCTTGTACTTGGCACACAACAGCCCTTGCGGCCGAAGCCTGTTGGATTAGACATTTAATGAAGTAAATTCGGTTGTGATTAAAGATTTAATTGGATAAATTTTCCATGTCAAGTCAGATTTGAGACGGAAAAGTGCAGTGTGAGCTGATGGGGCTGTAGAAGGGAGCCAGGAGGGCGGCACGGCCTGAGCCAGGAGCGGAGCCCTCAGGCACAGGGAGAAAGCCCAGAGCTGGGATGGCTCCAGGTGGGAACCGAGTGTGAGAGCAGGG